CTTCCTCTCTGTAAAAAATCAATAAAATATATTTTTTAAAAATGTATTTAAAAAAATAAACAAAAAGGAAGAAATCCTGCTGGGATTTTAAAAAAATAGAAGTCTCTTTAATAATTCCTAATTTAGTACAACAAAGGTATAAACATGTAAGCCAGCACTAAATTTCTATATTATTAAATCTATCCATATTTAAAATAATTTTAAGAAATCCTAAAAATTTTAGGAAACATTTTTTTGCCACACCACAGGATTGGTTTAAACAAGACCTACCACAGAAGCTTATCTAGCCATAATGAAATGCTCTTATTGCAGATTACCAAACCAAGCCAATTTTAACTGCCTAATTTTTCCAACTGCATAAATTAATTTATAGCCCTTTGGTTACACAAACAAACTCCAGGATTTATCAGCTACACGGTTTCCCCCCAAAATGGAAACACACATTGAATACCGTTATTAATTCCAATGAGTTAAGTCTGAAAAGAAACATCAATTGAGCTATCAAATGTTAAGTGTATGCATTTTTTGGGGGATACCCTGTATATGCTCCAAATTCCAAAGTATTCACACACCAATTTCCAATTCCTACAGGTGACTGTAAGATCACAAATCCCATTTATTGTTTTATTTGTTCTCTTTAAAGCACTCCAAACACCTAGCAGAGACACACTCCTATTCCCCACATTACCTTTTACCATTCTGCCTGCCTTAAGTGAGCTAGATTGTATGTGCTTCCAAGGGCTGAGATTTGAAGGGTAGGAGACTCAGCAATTACAGACCCTACTAGGAAAGCAGAAAGTGAACACATTACCCGTCTATTCTAGATTTTACATATCAGCGACTTGGTGAACACTGGATGATTTCTGGCCAACATCAGCATCTAAATCAATCCTAAAGTGCTCTATATTCAAGTCACTGCCATAAGAGCCCAGTTCTAAGTCATGTTTTAAGACATAATCTGGGAACTACTTAAATATATTATTATGCTTCCCCTGTCCCCAAATCTATTCCTTTTAAGAACCATATAGTATTTAAGGCTTTGTGGGGTCACAGACACTATTGCATGTTTTTAAAAACCCTTTAAAAAGGTAAAACCCATTCTTAGCTCAGCCATACAAAATCAACAAAACAAGATTCAGAAGTGAAATTAAGGTCTGATGTTCTCTCCTTTAATTCCTTAATTGCCTCCCAATATTAACTATTAAGCAAGTCCTTTAATTTGTAAAGCCAATCTATAGGGTAAACTGGTACTATTATAGCAATTCTTAATTACATGAAACGGGCAGTGAAAAGTAGAGCTCTTCAAATCTGAGGACTAGTAGTCAGCACACAGGAGCTCCAGTGACATGCTAGACATCATTTAGCTTATTGAAAGACTAAATAGCTAAGAATAGCCACCCTAAGAAATTATCTGTAACTATGTGGACAGCCACCAAATTGATGACTAGAGACTGTAGAACAGCAGTGAAGACAAACTCCCAAACTCCAGAGTCAGAAAATCCAGTTCAAATCCCAGCTCTGCCCATTGCTAGCTAGTCTCTTCCTGGGACCAATTTGCTCTCTGTGCCTTAGAATGGTACTTGTATCTCAAAGGCTTGAGGATTATATGGATTGGTTCATTTAAGGCATTTAAATAACGGTAGTATTTGATAAACATTACTTTTACTTATTGTGTGAAGGAAGTCACCTTATACACACAAGAAACCCCCAAAAAGGGGCACCCATACTCCCCCACCCCTGCCAAGGGAGAACACACTTGACAGCTACGACTAAGTATTTTTGTAAAGAGGGATAGCTAAGTGCTGTTTCTTAGCTCATGGGTAATACATTCAAATGCACACACAAAGGCCAGGCAGGAAGGGAAATCAACAGGACAAAACTAAGCCCAACAGATTGTGGTAAATAAAGAGAATGTATGCCTTGTTTAAAGCCTATCTAATAAAGATGGAATATGCAAATTGACCATCACTTTGCAACAAGATGGAGGCACCCACAGCCAATAAGGAGGGAATATGCACATTGATGTGACAAAGATGGAGGCAGCTGGGACCGCCTCGGCCACTCCAGGCCTCTGGGCAGTGCTAAGGTGGAAAGGTGGCTCTGGGCCGGAGCGAAGGCGGTGCTGGCAGCCAGGGGAAGGAAGGCCTATTCTTGCATGAATCTTCGTGCATCGGACCTCTAGTGTGATAATAATATTCATACCCAGAACTTTTTATTTGCCTGGGATTATAGGCCCTAAAGGTAAAATTCTAGATATTTTTGGTGCTATCTCCTGAATTTTAAATGACAGAAATTAATCACATTCCTTTTTAAGACACTGTATTGTCCATCCTGGCCGACATTGATCCATGAATGAGGAGGTCATGGTTCTATCCAAGATCAGGGCACGTGCCCAGGTTGTGGGCTTGATCCCCAGCAGGGAGTGGGCAGGAAGCAGTTGGTCAATGATTCTCATCCTTGATGTTTCTATCTCTCACTCTGAAATCAATAAAAAAAATTACCCCAGAGAATAGAAAAGTATTCCTATTCTGGTCATTATAAAAGATACATGTCCCATTGAAAATAAACTTACTGATTCATGCCAACCTTTTGAGTTTGGTAAGCATGGATCAATCCACAACAGCTAGAAGCAAAAGACAAAAAAATCAGGTTTTTAATTTAAAAAAGCAGAGGTTCAAATCCTGAAACCACTGACCCACGTGGCATCCTTCTAATGTCGCCTTCAACAGTTTTGAGTCAAGTTTTTCATAGTAAAACTTAAAAATAAGGGGGGAGGGTAAACAAGACCTTCTTGGTCACATTATCTAATTATCTTCTGCAGACTCAGTATACAAACAAAATGAATTTCTTAGAAAAACTAGATGAAAAGGCATTGTCCCCCCCCCCCCCACCTCCCACATCTCCAGGTGGCTCTACATACTTAACCAACTGTTAGCATCAAGAACTTTAGTTCTTTAAGACATACATTGTCCCTTAATCAAGGCAAACCTCTCGTGGATTTAGCCGCAGTCAGATTATAGAGTGTCTTATTCAAGTCTCAGAATCATTGAAACAACTAATTTAGAAATATAAAGCACATTTGAGCCAGTTAATTTGACAGAATAGTTGAGGTTTGGACAGTCCAAACAAAGGATCACCAAAAACCAATTTACATTTAACTTGCCCTGGAGGATGACCAATTGTGTTGATTGCAAGTCAGAACAGAAATATTCAAGCAATGACATCTCATCACATAAAAATTTAGAAATGTAAAGAACTACTCTTTCATCTTGAATTATTCACTTCAAAAAGATTATAACCTATATCCATTTTAACAAAATACAGCAAAACAGAAAGCACATGCTACAATTTTAAAAGCACACACAAACTACAATCTACACAGAAAGGGCTGCAAATTACAGTTCCTTCTACTGTGCACACCAGTGATATCCTTTGATTATATTGGGTCAAGGTTAAAAAGCAATGTTTTTCAAGGTTATTACCCACAAGCCATAATCCCCTGGAATTCTTGTTAAAAATGTACCCTAGACCCAGAGAATCCAAGGCTGGGCAGGAAGAGCGCAGGAATATGCACTCTTCCAAAGTAAGCACACAAATTCAAAAATCACTGTTAAGGGTTGTTAAGATGGAAATACTAACTGAAATGCTAATAAGTTAAGAGATCAATCAACTAAAAAGTGGTCAATTATAAGCACCAAAGTATTCCCTTCCTTCCTCACTTGTAACCCATTATCAAAAAACTAATGAAAAAATGTAGCCTTGGCCTGTCACAGGAAGGCAGACAGTGTAAGAACAGATGGAAAATTCCTAAAGATTTTGGAACAAAATATTTCCCCACAACTGCAAACGTGGAAAACGGGTCATCAATACTTACAATTTCCTTTGCTCTCCCCCACAATACTTTTATGGTTGAGTAATGAATGGTTTTTCATCACCCAATTATGTCTGTCTTTAAACTTGATCTTGCTCATTTGGTGTTCTGCAGTGTTGTCCATTTCACAAGCATTGGTATTACTTCTTGTGTCTTTTAAACCTCTAGTTGTTTAATGCCTTCTAAAGTAAGGATTTAAGAAAATGCTGAGACGACTGTATGGTGTCACCACTGAGACTAGTGAGATGCTGAGCCTCCTCTCAGCACACAGGGTGCACTACACCAGCACTGCACTGCCAGCCTGGCAGCCATCTTGGAGGATGCCTCGCTCACAGGGGAGACTGGGGAGCACTGAGCAAACCACCCCACTCCACTGTTGCTGCAAACAACCCTAAGCATCCTTCCTGAGATGCAGTCTGTACCCCTGCCTTCAACTACAAAGGAAGCTGTTAGAATGGACTAAGGCCTCTCTGATTATTAAAGCTGTAAGCAAAGCTTTAATAAAATTGACCTAATAGATATGATTTGGGGACAAAGGAGTAGAAGAAATAATTATTGAGGAAGGCCAGGGCCATTTTATTCCAGATGTTACTCTATGAGCAAATGAAAACAGCTCTTGTTGTCAAAGCAGTCCTAGAATAAATTCGTCGAAGGCATTCAAACTGTGTATATTGAAACGTTAAACAAAGGCACTACAACCTTAGTCAGTTTGACCAGACCTCACATAATTGCATTGTTAAATCATGTTACCTCCAAAGGTTAACAAGTTGTAATAACCTATATACTAACCAATGGGTCACCGTTTCAGATACCAATTTCAGTAACGTATAACAATAAGCATAACAATGTGGTGGGCCGGTCTCACAGAATTACATCCATCTTACTTTCATCGGTCTGCCCTGTCAGGGGATGGATCACGCATTCCACTTGCCTTTAAGTTAACTTCAGATTAATATTTGTTGCAAAACAAAGACCATCTCTAGATCCACTAATCCCTTCAGCCATAAAGGAAAACACAAACCCCACTCACACACCAGAGCAGCAACCGACGTACGCAAGCTTAAACAATCCCGAATCCGCAAAGCCTGCAGCTTGGAGCAGAGTGCAAGGGGGAGGATGGTCAGCTCACCTGTTGATGAAACCATATCCGTTCCTTACATTGAACCATTTTACTGTTCCCAAAACCTTCGTTGCTGGAGGAGAAAAAGAACCACGATTACCAGGCACCCTTTTTTTTAAAAAACCGCCACGCTTCAGCATCCGGTCCCTCGGGCGCTTCCCGGTGGCGGCCCGAGGCCACCTGACAGCCTTTCTCTTTATCTGTAGAGCCTGCTCCGGAGACGCGATCCGAGGCCCTCGGCGCCTCCGCGGTCCACGTGGGTGAGCGCGAGGACGCCACGGAGAGGGGCGCGGGCCCGGGCAGGGTGCGCACGGAGGCAGCGGGCGGGGGCCGCGGGGCGCCAGAGCACGTGAGGAAAGGGGAAGCCGCCCAGCCCACTTCGGCTTTGGAGGCAACCTATCTTCTCTTTTGTTTTTTAGCAATCAAAGGGCATCTGGAGCTGAAAAAGAGAAATGGGAACCCAGAATCCGCCTACTGTTTTCATAACATTGTTGCACAAGCTTTTTTATTTGGAAAAATTGGGAGGTGCCCGATGGCTCTCTGCGCGGGACCAAATCTCCAACCAGGTCTCCCTACCTCATCATTAAAACGTAATAAAACTGTTGTCACCTCTTGCGAGAGCGGAGATTCATAGTCTGTAGTAGTATATATACTAATGGTGAAACTCTTTAGTCGTTTAAATGCTCATGTTCTCTCGCGCCAAAAATGAGACGCGGGGTCCAAAGAGAAGTAATCCAAAACACCCCAATCCTGAATGTCAAAATAAA